CCCTATCCTCCTAAAGGCTGCAAAGCAAATACACGGCACAGGCAAACACATCCAGCCAGGATTTCCAGCAGATGAGCACGAAGCAAACATGGAGGCAAACGTTTGAGACCCATCCACACCATCGCTCAGGCCTCGAAGGCAGAGATGTGGGACACTGCAGGGAACAGCTCGATCCAGGCACCTTCACACACGCAGGGCACTGACCTGCGGCAACCCTTACCCACCAATGACACTAAACCCACCTGAGCCAGCGCCAGAGCAGCGCTGTCCCCACCCAGCCGCTGCATGCAGGTGCTGGGCAACCCAAAAGCCTCAGGTACGGGGACAGAAGCGCCCCATGCAAAGCCCAAGCAATGCTACTCCGCTCCCCGGCCCGTTACCGGCGCCCCGCGGGCACCTGCGAGCAGTTCTCCATCGGAACCCAAGTTTCCCCCGCTCGTCTCGCACCGGGGGCGATCCTGGGGCCACCCCCGCCTGCGGCACCCCCGGCCCAGGCCCCGCCCCAGGCCCCCGCGGATCCCCCCGGGCCGCTGCCAGGGCGCAGCCCCAACGCGGGGCTCCCCCGCCACAGCCCAGCGCCAGGCCCGGGCAGGCCCCTCCGAACCCGGGCAGGGCCGCCCCGCGCACAAAGGCCGCGGCGGCCGCCCCGAGCCTGGAGCAGCGAGGCCTGGCGGGGAGGGGAGGACAGGGCCCGGGCGGGGCGGGGCGAGCGGCGCAGGGCAGCGGTACCTTTGAAGAGGTAGTCGTACTCGTCGTCCCGGGTGCCCATGGCGATGGCGGCGCCGACCCTCTGCTGCCAGGCACCGACCGCGGCCCAGCCGGGAGGGGGGGAGAACGGGGCACCGCGCCCGCCACCGCCTATCAGCGCCCGCCAGAGCCCGCAGGAGGCGGGCGCCGCGCCAGACCCATCAGCGAAGGCCAATAGGCAACGGTCGAGCCTGTGAGTGGCGGGGGAAGCTGTCCAATCGCAGAAGGGCAGCCAAGAGGAAGGGAGGGGTTTGAGGTGCCTGAGCCGAGGCGGGGCCAAGGAGGCGGGGCCTGGCTGGGAGAGGCGTGGTTTAACGGATTGGGCGTGGCTCGTCGGAGGGGCGGGGCCTCGGCGGGTGCGCAGCCCGGGGTGGATCAGCCCCGAGCTGGACCAGCCCCAGGGAGAGCTCGCGAATGTCCCTGCATCCCGAGGGACGTCCCGAGGATGCTGCTCCGTGACCTCCCTCCCAACCTTCTGGTCTAATGGGTGTGATGTGCGGCTGCAGCAAACGCTGGCAGGGAAGACAACAGCTCCCTCCTGCAACAGCAGCTGCTGCAGTTATTGCTCTGACGTGCAAGGAGAGATATCACAGAATCATCATCGAATGATTTGGAATGAAGGGATCTTAGAGATCCTCCAGTCCCAACCCCTGCCAGGGCAGGGACCCCTTCCACTGGAGCAGCTTGCTCCAAGCCCCTGTGTCCAACCTGGCCTTGAGCACTGCCAGGGATGGGGCAGCCACAGCTGCCAGCGCCTCAGCACCCTCACAGGGAAGAGCTAATGCAGGCAGGACAGTGTGCTCCATGCTGCTGAGCTCCTGCAGAAGAGCTGAAGTCACTGGGAGGGGGTGTCAGGGCCTGGGGAGTATTGGTGGGTGGAGAGCTCATCTTGCGTTATTAATTTGCTGTTTCTTGGCTTTGTATCATGTTTCAGATTCCAGAGGGGGTTTGGGTTCTGCTGCTGTATAGAAAGGGCTGGAGGCCCCACTGCTGGATCTCCTGGTGCTTGTTTCTGCCATTTGGATGGGGGCTGGATGTGGAGGGGGCTCCAGGCAGCAGGTGAGGGCTCTCCTGGCTTTGCTGGGCCTCAAACACAGCTGGGTCTGGACATTGTTCCCTGATGTGCAACACCCTCTTTGAATCATGGAATCAAGAAGCTTGGACAAGACCTTTGAGCTCATCCAGTCCAACCGTTACCCATCACTGTCAATGCGACCACTGCCCCATGGCACTGAGGCCTCGTCTATACAGTGTGTGAGCACTTGCAGGGACGGTGCCTGCAGCCCTGCCCTGGGCAGCCTGTTCCAACGCCTGAGCATCCTCTGGGGAACAAATTTTCCTCAGCTCCATCTAAACCTGCCCTGGTGCAGCTTGAGGCCGCTTCCTCTTGTCCCATCCCTTGTTCCTTGGGAGCAGAGAGGCTGACTCTATGACCTTGATCTTGATTTAACGACGCTCAGAGAGAACCTCAGGTCCAAATCAGCTGCAGTTGAATCTTCTGCTGATGAGGCTGAGCTCCACACGCACCAGTCCTGTATCCCCCTGCCAGAGCACAGCCCCAGGCTGTCCTGCAGGTCCCAAAAGCCCTGTCCCAGCATGGCCAGACCCCGGAGCCCTCCGCTGGCACCGACACAGCCCCGGGAAGAGCAGCAGCTGAGGCGAGGTTTAGGAGGGAGGGCTCGGACCCTGCGCGGACCCTGCTGGCCGGGCTGCGGTGAGTGAGGCACAGCCTGCCCTGGGGAGCAGCAGCGCTCGGTAACCCAGGGGAGGGTGGGAAGCTTCGGGCAGAGCTCGGTGCCGTTCCTCTCGCCGTCACTGGAGGGCGCTGCCGCATCCTCAATGGGGCTCCCAGATGTGCCCGGCTGCAGTGAGAGTTGATGGAGGAGCTGGAGGATTCCAGGAGGATTTCAGGTGGAAACAGGGACCCAGAACTGGCGTCTTCAAGGCCAGGTTGGACACAGGGGCTTGGAGCAAGCTGCTCCAGGGGAAGGGGTCCCTGCCCTGGCAGGGGTTGGAGCTGGAGGAGCTTTAACGTTGCCTCTTGTCCTCGGGAGCAGAGAGCAGCCTCCTCCTGGCTCCGTCCTCCTTTCAGGTCACTGTAGAAAGTCCTGAGATCCCCCCTGAGCCTTCTTCTCCCCCAAAACCGGGGAGCACCAAAACCCTCTGCTCATGAATAAACACAGCACAGCTCCCTGCCCAGATTCCATCTGATGCACAAACCCCACGTTAGTCTCATCCCGTCAGCATTAAGAATAAACCACAGTACTCCCATAGCTGCTCCTGCACCCAGGGACCAAAGAAGCTTTGAATTAAGCAAATGGGACATTAGAAATGTACTCCTGAAGCCAAGAGTACAGAGACAGCGCAGGGCTGGCTATAAGGGGTTGTTTGTGCAGTTGGGCCTGGGGCTATCATTAACCCCAGGTTTGCTCCCGGGGGAGGAGGAGAGGCCCAGGAGCTGAGGCCACCTTGAGGTATTTGTACAGCTGCTGTAGGGGGCTCGAGCGGCCTCGTGTCTCTTCTTTCTACAATAAGCAGTTTCTGTCCCCCTTCCTTGCTCTGTTCTTCAGCTCCAGCGCCATGTCTGGGATCATGGGAGCTTACCTCCATCACCCCCAAGGCTCCTGCGGCATCCCCAGCCCATTTCATTCCTACCTCTGTACCCATCCTCCAGAAGCTGCAGCAAGAGCTTTTGGAGGTGCCTGTGCGTGTGCATGAACAGGTTAAGGACACTGCTTACGGGGCTTGTCCTGATCAGCTCTGACTTTAACAGGAGCTCAGTTTTCCAGCCAGCTACAAGGGCCCTGGGCAAAGGTCTGCCCCAGGAGAGCAGCACTGACACCGAGAGCTTGCGTTCCCTTGGGAACTCCGCGCATTTCATCCAGCACAGAAACTGCTGCGGGGGCTGCGGCAGGGGTTTGTGCTGGGAGAGCCCCGCTGGGCTGCAGGGGGAGCTGAGGCCGGAGGAAGCACAGCTCAGGCTCAACTCCCAGCGAGTGAAGCCTCCTCACACGGCCCCCACCCCTCTGCCAGTGGGAACTCACAGAACAGAACAGAACCATGGAATGGTTTGGGGTGAAGGGATCTTAAAGCTCCTCCAGCCCCAACCCTGCCAGGGCAGGGACCCCTTCCACTGGAGCAGCTTGCTCCAAGCCCCTGTGTCCAACCTGGCCTTGAGCACTGCCAGGGATGGGGCAGCCACAGCTTCTCTGGGCACCCTCCCAGGGAGGCACAGATGCAGCAGGACAGGTACAGGCTTGTTTTTATTAAAAGACACCTTCAGAAAAGACATTTTAGTACAAAAAAAACCCCAGTTTAAAATACACAAACTACTTGGTTGGGTCGTTCCAGCATGAACATTCATAAATTACACCACATCACCATTAACACTGCATTTAAATATGGAAACAAATTAGAGAACAGGAAAACCATCGACAAGATCCAACATCCTACAAATGCCTATTTACAGTATTTAGCAGCTAGGAGCTCTAGCATCATAGTCAATATGACTTCAATAGGGTGGGACGCTTGGGAAGCCCCAAGGCGGCATCTTGTTGCCCACGTCTCCCCAGACACCCACCCCAAAGGCAGAGGTGACAGCAGGGTACGGACCCAAGAAGGTGGTGCAGCTCTTGCACAGAACCCCTGGTCTCCTCTGGCCTTTGAGAGCAAGTTTTGGGGCCTGCACGTGGGATGCTGCGAAGTACGGGGAGGCAGCTCCCCAGGCTGCAGCAGGGTTACAGCCCCCAGCAAGGCTGGTTCTGCACAGGGACCACCAGTGCTTCGTACCGGGCTGTCCCAGTGCTTGTCCTAACCCCCTCCAGGCAGAGCTTAAGGCTCAGCCGTGCAGGATGAGGCCCTTGTGCAGGAGGCTGTCGGATCCCACCCACCCTCTCATGGAGCTGGGAGCAGATTCCCAGCCAATTCCAGCGCCGCCAGAACTGCAGGCGTTCCAGGCTGTGGGACCAGGGAAGCCTGAGCCCCGCTCTGCGCAGCATGGCCCTCACCCCCCACCAAACCCCATCTGCTCAGAGGGCTGTAGTCACCAGGCAGGGGCTGCCCAGGGCTCCCTGCCCCAAGGACCAGAGAGGGACGGAGGCTCTGGGGGCTTAGGACATCACTGGGGAGCAACAACGACAGGACCCAGCAAGGCTCCACCCCCAGTGCTTGGGGCCAGGGTAGTGATGCACTCTGTGTGCTCCCCTTTCCCCCCCGCCCCAGCTCATGAAACCCAGCACAGAAGTGTTCAGACAGCACCAGGCAGCTCGCCACAGCAGGGTCAAGGCCCTTGTGCATCTCTGGAGGTCCATCTCCCTGCTGGTGCCTCCTCTTCTGCTTTGGGAGCTCCCATCCCGGGGCTTCAGCGACATGGAGCTGCTTCACTTCTAGCCAGGAGCTGGGTTGGCTGTGAACCAAGAGGAACCCTCCTCAGGGGCCTTCCCTGGGCAGGATGGGGCCGGTTGCTGTAAACACCAAGTGATGGAGCTCAGGTCTGCTCTGCAGAGAAGGTCAGAAGTCTCAAGTGGCAGCTTCAGGGCTCTGCCTCCGGCGCCGCGGGCTGGATTTTCATGGTGGTTGCCTTGAGGGGGTAGTACCGGCCCTTCCAGGTCTTCCAGAAGATTCCCTGCTTGCGCTCGTGCCTCTGGCGCGGGATGGAGCGGAAATACTTCCCGTTGAGGTTGGCATGGCCGCACGTGCTGAACCACCAGCCCCCTGCCAAGGCAAGGCAGAGGCAGGTTTAACCCACAGCACCTCCAGGCAGAACAGACCCAGGCTCAAGGCAGCTCTGTTCCTATTTTCCAGGTCTCTGGGACCTTACAAGATCACACCTGAGCAGTCCCATGCATTGGGAAACCTTTGCACAGGTCCTACAGGACTCAGGATGTGTCTGGAAACCCCTGCAGCCCTTTCCTGCATGCAGAACCCCCTCGAGCCCTTTGGCAGCCCCATCTCAGGCCTGGGACTGGCTCCTCTTTGCTTGAAAGGTTTCCAAGCAAGGCGACAAGCAGGAAAACTGCTACAGAGAAGATGCTTGGGCCAGGAACCGCATCCCGAACCCATCCTGGCTCCCTGCACGGCTCCAAGGATGCAGCTTTCCCAGGGTCACCACCAACGGGGTCTGGACCTGCCGGGTGCTGTCCCTCTCGGGCAGTGGAAGGTGCCCCCACGGGGCAGGGAGAGCTCGCACTGACCTGAGAGGTGCTTGGCGCAGTTTGTGTCAGCTTTGAGGTCGTGGTCCCGATCCCGCGTGGAGAACGGCAGCTGCCTGAAGTCCCCGATGGCGTTTTCCAGCTCTCCGGAGAGGGGTCCCAGCAGGCTGAGGGTGTAGGCTGTGCTCTCGCCCCCGAGGCTGAACACAAACTGAATCGCCTGCGAATTCCCCTCCCAGTCTTCCAGCTCGATCAGGAGATTGAATCTGCCCTCCTGGACGAGGCGATGCATCTTCTCCAGCCCCAGCCAGAAGTCACCTGAGCCAAGACAACTGCAGTGGGCATGGGGACACAAATACACCACGCACACACGGGAACAGGCTCCAGAGACACAGAGGGACAAGGCAGGACCCTGCATCACTTGAATGCCTGGCCCCTGCAGGAAGACTAAGGACTCTTGGTCTGCAAGCAGTGCAGTACTGTGCTCTGCCACACAGAGATCTCCAGGGGCCACCACGGGGCAGTAGTTCATGCCAAGATATCACTTATCCCACACTAACACAGACACCATCATCCACCTACCTCGAAGGTCTCCAAAGCCGTTCTTGTAGGCATCCCAAAGCTGGTCGAAGTCCACGGAGCCGTCTGTGCGCCTCTGGATCACGGTCCAGCCACCTTCTGCAGCAGGGAGAACACGGTCACTGGGGCTCCCCTTTCCAGGGCCACCAGGGGAAGGGCTGCGGGGCACACGCACTGCTTTACCTGTGGTCATGTCACAGTAGACCTTGAAGGGCTGGGACCCTGCGGGCTGCACTTGGAAAACGCCACTGCTCTGCTGCCCGGCCAGGAAGAGCTGGTGGCAATCCTGCGGGAGCCCTGCGGGAAGGACACAGCCACTGAGAGAGGGCGGCCCCGAGTCCCGCTTCCTCAGCAGGCTGCTCCTACCACGGCCCCAGCACTTGCAGCCCTGGCCCCCAGCCCAGCAGCTGTGCACAGCAGTGGCCGCTGCTCCGGACACGTGCCGCTGGCTGCAGCATCTTCCAAGTCCGTGACCCCGCATCTCTCCATCCATCCATCATCCATCCATCCATCATCCACCCATCTCCCCATCCATCCATCATCCATCCATCCATCCATCCATCCATCATCCACCCATCTCCCCATCCATCCATCCAAACACAGCTCCTCGGGCTGCAGCCCAAGGAAGAAGCCAGGCACTGGGCCAGGCTGGGGTGACCCAGGCTGGGGTGAGCTTCCCAAGGATCCTCCCAGCTCCCTCAGCAGCAGGCGGGAGCATCCCCTCGGGGTGAAGCTCTCCCCAGGGGGTTCAGCAGCTGAGCCCTGGCTCGGGAAGGGGCTGGCGCACGCAGGACCCAGTGACCACGGTGGCCCCAGCGGCCATCCCCCTGGGCAAGCTGCCACCAGCAGGCGCGGGGCCAGGCTGGGCTGACCCTTGCCTGCCCAAGGCACCTCGACCGGGGCAGAGATGGGCTGGCGGGACCTCGGCGAGCCCCGGCTCACTGCACCCAGGGCGAGGCCACCCCGAGCTCGTCCCCCTCCATCCGCACACAGCAGGCGGGCTCCCACCTCTCCTCCTGCCCCTGCCCCTGCGGGACTTTGCCCGGGGCCGCCAGCACAGCATCGTTTCAACAGCGCTGGTAAAGTCCATCCAGGAGCTGGGGAAGGGACGGGGAACGGGGCTGAAACCTGTTACAAAACCCGAGTCAAAAGGCCAGGGGAGGATGAGCAGAGCCCCAGCGCCGGGGCTGCGGCGCAGTCAAGGGGCTCTTTGTGAGCCGGGACAGGTGCCCCCTCACCCCCAGACAAAGGGGCCCTGTTCTTCCCATGCAAGGGTGGGATGGATTTGGGTGGCTCCACAGCTGCTGCCACCACGACCCCAGGGACAGGCGGGTGAGGAAACCCAGACAGGCCCCGGCTGTGCTGGGGAGCTGCTGCCCCCCAGAGCCCCACCGTGGGGTCCCCCCTTTGCTGTGTCTGCCCCCGGGGTCAGGGCTGGGCCAGGACTGGGGAGCAGCAGCTTGGAGAGGAGCCTCCCCCACTGCTGTGGGGCTCCACATTGGGCAGAAGGGGGAAAGGGGGGCTCTGAGCTGTGCAGGGCAGGAGCCAGATGCACCCCTGTGGGGCACTGCCCCTTGCCCAGTCTTCACTGCGCACCCCAGTGCTTTGCTGGGATGAAGAGTGGAGCCACTCAGATCTCCACAGGGTGCCCAGAGAAGCTGTGGCTGCCCCATCCCTGGCAGTGCTCAAGGCCAGGTTGGACACAAGGGCTTGGAGCAAGCTGCTCCAGTGGAAGGGGTCCCTGCCCTGGCAGGGGTTGGAGCTGGATGAGGTTTGAGGTCCCTTCCAACCCAACCCAGGCTGGCATTCTAGGAAAGGTCAGCATGGGGGGGACCGGGGGACAGCAATGTGACACCCGCCACCACCTTTCACCCATTTCCCCCCTTCTCCCCCCCGACCACCCTAGTGAACTTTCCTCTCCTTGGCACCGGGCCCTCTCCCACCACTGCAGCCACCAGCACAGCGGGGCCAGCAGCATCCCTGTGTGATGCCAGCGTGGGACTGGTGCCACAGAGCCCCCCCGTGCACCACAGGACTTGCTCTCTCCCTAGTGGCCAGCACCATGAGGAGGCCAAGTGCATCCCTGACCACCCCACTCTGTAGGGAAGGGGAAGCCAAATGAAGCCTGATGGGAGGAAACCCCCAACCCGACCCCATACCCAGAGCAGCAGCAGGGAGGTGCTGCAGCCTGCTGAGCTCCTCACCTCCTCTCCCATCTCATCTCCAGCATCAGCAGGGCAGTGCCCAGGAGAACGCTCCACAGAGCAGCCCCATTCCTGTCTGTGAGGTTTCTCCTCAGCCTTGGCCACTCTCCCACCCCTTCCCCTGCAGCACCAGGGGCTTTGTGAGCAGCTGAACGAGGTGCAGCTGCCTGCCAGCCTCGGTGCAGTCCTGGTCTGAGGAACACACTCCTTAGCTCCAGTTCGTGTTGCACATCCCTATGGCACCAGCAGGACAAACCCTCCTGGCTGCTCGGGACCTTCGCCTTTCCCTCCCCTTCTACACAGCCAAACGAGACACAAGGATCAAGAAGGCTCCCCAGGCACAGCAGCCTCATTACCCAACCGGATCTCCAGGCACGCCAGGAGGTCACCAACCTGCCATAAACGCCCTGCCTCGCTGATGGCAGGAGCGGGGTTTTCATCGCCTCCCCCTCACCCAACCCCTTTATTTTGGAGCTCCAGAGCCAGGCTTTGCTGGGCTCTGCCTTTCCCCTACTGGGCCGGCTGCCAGGCAGCACAGCCTCTGCCTGAAGACATGATCCTCTTTCTGCAAGCGATTAAACCTTTCCCTCTCCAGGCTGCTCCGAGCCTTCAACTTTCACATGCTTGGCCCTGAGCCATTTCTGGCCTCAGAAAAAACCCCAAACTTGAGCTCACTTGGATGCAAATAAAAGGCTCTTTCTCAAAGGGCTGCTGGTGGAGCTCAGCACCGCGGCTCTGCCTCACAATGGCACAGAGCAGCCACGAGCCTCCCCGGGCAGAGGGCACGGCGCTGCCCTGCCACACACTGAGGGCTCCAGGGTTTGCCAGCAAAGCCCCTCGGTTTGCTGATGAGAGGAAGCCAGTTTGTCTGCTCTCAGCAATAGCAACATCAGGGGTTAGGCAAGAGAAGGGAGGAGGGATGCCTGGAGCATTAGGGATGCTCAGGGTCTCCCCATCAGAATCATGCACAAGGAGGCGCTGAGCCCTCATAGCACCCCCAGGGTCTCAGGGTCCTCTCTGTGCTGCACCCAGCACCCATCAGCACCAACAGCACAGCCTACATCTGCCACCATTGAGTAGCAAAGGCCCAAACCCATCTCCCTGCACCCCACTTTCAGGCTAACCCGAGAGCTGAGGAGGGAGCTTGGACTAAGTGGCTGTAGTAGGGGACTTTTACAGGTCCCTTCCAACCCAAATGATGCCAGGATTCTCTGGCAAACACAACTGAGGGCAAGCCAGAAAGCAGAGCTGGGGGAAACCCCAGAGGGAAAGAGGTTTTGAGATGCTGCTGTCACCAAGGGAGACTTTACACGGGCCCACCACAGGCCGGCCAACCCCACCGAGCCGAGCACCAGGCGCTGGGAGCCCCCTGTCCCATCTCTTCCCTTGCCTGCAGCAGTTCTGCAGCTCTTTTGTTCTGCTCACCCAGCTCCCGGCAGCAGTGACAGCTCCCAGCTCCTCACACACCCAACCACGTGTTCTCCCATCGCTGCCCCTGCCTGGGGCAGGATTTCCCCACGCATCTCCTCAGCCCGCCCGGTTTGTGTTTGGCTTGCACCGGACATCCCCGGACAGCTGCACACGCAGCCAGCACCCTCATTTGGCTGACTGAGCACCAGCTGCTCTGGCCAGCAAAGCCTGCAGGGACAGCGCTTCCTGGCTGGGAGGAGGCTGCAGGACACGGCACAGCTGGGGACACCCGCTCCGATGGCCCTCGCTGGCACAGGAGATGCTCCAGATGCAGCATCCGCTCGTGCACTCGGTGCCAGGAGTGCCCCGTGCCCTCCCCGCAGCTCAGCCCTTGCTGCCAAGGATACCGGGAGCTGAGGCACTCAGCTTTCATGCATGGGCCCTAAACATGAGCCAGTACAATGCACAAGGACTCCAAGAGCTACACCAGTGGAAGGTGCCCCTGCCCATGGCAGGGGATTGGCACTGGATGCGCTCTGTGGTCCCTTCCAGCCCAGCCCAGGTTGGGATTCTGTGATCTCTCTTCCTCTCACGGCTCTCTCCATCCACAGACAGACCGAGCAGCCGGCCCTGTCTGCTGCAGTTTGTGCAGGTGAACAAAGTTAACCCCAAGGAGCAGAGATCCTCCTTTCCTCCCTGCATCCACACTCCCAATCCTCTAACAGATACCTGCCAGCCGTGTTTGTCCTCTCCCTGCTGCACTCTTAACATCAGGCAGAGAAATTCCTCTCAAATCCTTACATTCCTGCTGGACTAACACCGATCCCGAAGGCTGCGATCCTGCCCATGCTCCAGATCCCCCCTGTCTGGCCCAACTCCCAAGCTCTGGATTTGGGAGCAAACCTCACATCCTGACTCTGGACAAGTGAACCTTTTGTTTTGGAGCAGCAGGTTTGCTCCAGCGCAGAGCAGACACTCACTGTGCAGCAGCACGGGCTCCCTGCTGGTGTTGTGGCTCTGGTTCAGGAGGCTGAAGCTCTTCGGGTTTATCTTCCACTTTGGAGCCTGCGTTTTGTTGGCCTTCAGGTGGAAGGGGATCAGGAGATTGACCTGAAAGAGCAGTGCGCAAGTCAGGACACTTCAATCCCAGCTCGTTTTCCACACTGGTGCTCAGGGGAGCTCCGCAGCCCAGCCTCTCCCCGTGACCAGGGCTGGGGCTGAACTTGCCCCGACACCTCAAGGAACAGGATACCAGCAGCTGGGCAAAGCCGGGAATTACTGCGGGCTTTCACAGCCAGGCTAAAGGGTTCGTCCTGCAGACAAACCCAAGGGAAGAGCCCCGGGGGGCTCCGTTCCCACAGCCCAGTTCCTCCACACAGATGCTCTGGAAGCCGCTTGTTTGCTGCTGTGGCACCGGGACCAGGGCCGTGGCCCTTGTGAAGTCCCCAGAGCTGGGGAGCAGCCTCAGAGCCGCCTCTCGTCCCACAGGACCCTAGCACCGTGTGGGACCAGCCCAGGAGGGAGCTCACCTTGCTCTGCAGGCTCTTAATCTGCAGATTCTGCTTGTCCAGCTTGTACTGCTGCTGCTTGATCTTCTGCAGGAGCTCCTCGATCCGCAGGTTCTGAGCATCCATCAGGGACTGCAGGAGGGGGGGAAGAGCCGGGTGAACGCCCCAGCTCTGAGGAGACCCCGGGGCTCCCAGGGACCCCTCAGCAGGAACCTCCGCGGGGAGGGGTCTCCCGATGCCCCTCAAAGGGACTCCCACTTGTGTGTGTGGGGTCTCCAGTGCCCCGCAGCCAGACCCCTAAGCCCAGCTCCCAGTGCCCCAGGGGAATCGGGTCCCCTCCCCGCTCCGGAGGTGCTGCTCCCCACGGCAGCCCCCTCCCAGCCGCTCCCATCGCCCCGGGAAGGGTCCGGTTCCCCACACAGTTCCCAGCCGGCAGCCAGGGACCCCTCCCCGCCTGCCCACCAGGTCCCTGCCGCTGCCCCGGGCGGGTCGGGTCCCCGCTGCCGGTACCGAGGGCCCGATCCCTCGGTTCTGGGGGCGGTGCTCACCTGCAGCGCTCCCAGGTCCCTGGCGCTCTGGTTCCCGGCCGGCCTCGCCTGCAGCGCCAGCCGGAGGCGCCCCTCGATCTGCTCCAGCCGCCCCTGGATCTCGGCTTTATCAGCCGCCACCTCCTCCAGGCGCTGCCGCAAAGCCTCGGAGAGGTTCAGGAGCTGCCGGCCGCGGCCCTCCAGCTCCCGCACGCTGTCCCGCAGGCGCTCGCCCTGCTCCTGCGCATCCCGCGCCTGCCGCAGCAGCCGCCCTAGGGAGCTGTTATGGGCGCTCAGGCGGCTGCCGAGCTCCCGCATCTGCCCCTTGGTGCGGTCCACGTGCTCCTTGAGGCCGTGCCCGAGCTGCAGGAGCCCGTGGGCGATCACGTTCACCTCGTCCCAGGACGCGAACTGCGCCCGCCGCTCCTTGCCCGCCGCCCTCCGCTCGGCCCCGGGGCCGGGGCCCGCTCCCGCCGGCGCCGCGGCCGCGGTAGCTCCCAGCAGCAGGAGCAGCAGCGCGGACACCCCGGTGCGCTCCATTCCGCCCGCTCCGGTGCTCGCTCCGCCGCCGCGGCCCCGCTTTTATCGCCGCCCGCGCACCGCGGTGGGGAGGGACCCGGCACCGGCCCCTCCCCGCCCGCCCGGCCCCGCCGCTTTGTTCGCCCTCCCCCGGGCAGGGGCCGCTCCTCAAACCCTGCCCGCAGCAGCCCCGGCCTCAGAGACACCCCCCCCCCGCGCCCCTCGGTCTCCATCCCCGCCCATCCCCATCCCCATCCCTATCCTCATCCCTATCCCTTCCCCACCCTCATTCCTTCCCCATCCCATCCCTTCCCATCCTCATCCCCATCCCCTTTCCCATCCCAATCGCCATCCCTGCCCCTGGACCAAGGCCCCTCATCCTGTTGGCAGCAAAAAAAACACATTTGAGCATGAGCAGCAGGTCGAGAGAGGGGGCTCTCTGCCTCTGCTGTGCCCTGGGGAGGTCCCCCCTGCACTGCTGATCCACCCTGGGACAAGGGATGCAGGGACAGGACAAGCTGGACGAGCTTTAAGGTCCCTTCAACCCAAACCATTCCATGATGCTATGATAAACCCCATCCCAAACTATCTCTGATCACAGGAGCAGGAGTCCCGGGTGATGCCCCACAGGAAGCAGCCAGCTCTGGGGAAGGTGCACACTCGGGGTCAGCTCCTCTGTGCCCATGGGCTGAGCATGATGTTTACCCCTCTAAATGCTCCCAGTCTCCCAAGGATAAATTCCTGCCCCCTGTAAGGCTTCAATCTCCCCCTTTGAAAAGTGGGCATCATTTGTGACTTGGACTCTGGCTACCGGCTCTTCCCTCTTGTCCTCCCTTTTTTCCACTGGCTTCAAAGGCGTTCTCAATCTGTTTTTTTCTCCCCATCAATGAATTCACACACTGTGATGGAGCCTTTCAGCTAAGAGCAGATGGAGCCCTTCTGCTCCCTCCCCACTTGGTGTTTCCTCTGGATCTGCCATAGCACATCCTAGAGCAGGGAGCAGCATTCCCATCCACACCACCTTCTGGGGGCTCAATCCCAGCTTCCCAAGCCCTGCTGGGCCCTCCTGCACATCTGGATGGCAGCGAACCCCGTGGGAGCAGAGCTCAGAGTGGGACCTGTGCTCCGCTCCCCTCTGCTCAGCCCCGCAGGAGCCCACAGCACCCCTGGCTCCATCCACCGCTGCTCCCACCCTTGGGCACATCCCACCCATCCCATGGGATCCACTGTGGGTCTGCAGAGCTGGGTTTGAAGCCCAGCCTCTCCCTTGCCGGGGCCATGACGTGCACATCCAACACTTCCATCAAGCCTAACTTGCTTCCCCCTCCCCAAGCAGGCAACTAATGGAAGGGTTTCCCCTCTTTTCTGCTGCTTTCCCTGTTGGGAGTGCAGCAGCTCCTCGCTGGGGGTGTGTTTATGGGCAAAGGCTCCTGCAGGAACAATTCCCAGCCGCTGCGTTCCCGTTCTCCTGGCCCTGGGCTGTCTCCAAGCCTTTCCCAGGTTGCGGCTGCAGAAGCAGGGAGTGAGGCCTCAGGGTGAGCGCTGAGCACAGGGAGGAGCCACCGGCTCCGACAGAGGTGAGAGTTAAGGAGGAATAGGGGAAATGTCATCAGTCAGAGCCCAGCCCCCTCCGCCAGTCGATGCTTTCTCGTTTATTTCATGGTTAGAAGGAATTTGTCAGATGAGGAAAAAGGAGAAAATGCTGGGGCAGCAAACAGCGCAGGGAGAGAGGCAGCGCAAAATGGGAACGGGGGGGCTGCTTCTTCAGACCTTTGAGGCTTGGGGCTGTGAAAGGGAGCTGGGGACAAGGGGAGGGGGTGGTGACCCCCATCAGGCTTCTCTGTGCAGCCCAGGGCTCCTGTGTGGCCCTTTGGGGTGCACCTTGTGCCCCCTTCACTCCCTCAGGGATGGACCTGCCAGCACCCCCAGTGCTGGGGGGGGGTGGGGGGGGGCAGCCACAGCTCTGCCAGAAATTCCCCAAAATTGGTGATTCCACCCCAAAAAAAAAAAAACATGAAAATTCTTTTCCTCTGGGTCCTGCTGGGTTTGGGCATCCCGGGAGATGTGAGCCAGCAGGAGCCTGAGGTTGGAGCATGGCATCCCCAGAGCCTTGTGAAGCAGGAAACACCAACCCCGAGTCACTGGGACAAACAGGGAACCCAGTTTCATGTGTTGACTGTTGGTCTGGGTTAATGACATCAGGCAGAATGAATCCTTGTGAGCAGCTCCGCTCCCTGCCCTGCTGTTACCCAACACTGGAGCTTGGCCTGGGAATCACTGGGGTTACACCGGGTGCCGGAGCAGACGTGTTCCCACTGGTTGTTCTCTGCACTCGCAGTGTTTGTGCTGAGGCAGGAGAGGGGCAATGGAAGGAGCCCCATGATTTATGCATATCCCTTCAGCTGTGTTTTCCTATTGGGACATCTCTAATTTACCTTGAGAGATGGGAATTGTTAATGGACACAAACAAAGAGTTCCCCGAGGCCCTGAGCTCCCATGGGCTGGGAGTGACCCCAGATCAATGGGAAGGTGCTTTCTGCAGAGCTGAGCTTAAACAGAGGCTCAAAGAGTGTGGCCAGCAGGGATTTCTCCATGCCAAGAGGGAGCCTGAACTGCTCTGCATGGAAAAGTGCTGCAGCCAAAAGCCCTGCTCAGGCTGGGGCTGGGGCTGGGGCTGGGCCCTCAGGGCTGCCCCTGGGTCTCTGCAGGTTCATCAGGGTCCCCTGCCTGGGTCATCCCTTGGGGATGGAGCAGTGGCTCCAGAGGCAGTTCTCCAAGGTCTCTCTGTGGGAACAGGAGTTGTCCCATCCCCACCTCTATCCCTGTCACAATCAACACCCCCATCTTCATCCCCACCGCTTCTTCCATGTGATTTCCCCCAGCCCAGACAAACTTCCAGCCTGGAAAGGCAGTATCCCCAGCACACACCATAAGTAGATCCTCGAAACAGCCCCTGCATATCTATACCCATCCCTATTCCCTTCCCCATCCCCACCTCTATCCCCACCACACCTCATCCCATCACATCCCCATCCCCATCCCCTTATCTATCCTTCTCCTCTTCCCTATCCATATCCATATCCTCTTACCCATCTGTATCCCCATCCCTAACCCTATCCCACCTCATCCCATCCCCATCCCTATCCCTATCCTCATCCCTATACCCATCCCAATCCCTATCTCTACCCTTATCCCCATGGCCATACCCACCTTCATCCCCATCCCCTCTTTCTTCCCCATCCCATCCCCATCCCTATTCCCATCCTAATCCCTATACCCATCCCAATCCCTATCTCTACCCTTATCCCATGCCCATCCCCACTTTCATCCCCATACCCATCCCAATCCCTATCTCTACCCTTATCCCATGCCCATCCCCCCCTTCATCCCCATCCCCTCTTTCTTCCCCATCCCCATCCCATCCCCATCCCTATCCCTATCCTCATCCCTATACCCATCCCAATCCCTATCTTTACCCTTATCCCCATGGCCATCCCCACCTTCATCCCCATCCCCTCTTTCTTCCCCATCCCATCCCCATCCCTATTCCCATCCTAATCCCTATACCCATCCCAATCCCTATCTCTACCCTTATCCCATGCCCATCCCCACCTTCATCCCCATCCCCTCTTTCTTCCCCATCCCCATCCCATCCCCATCCCTATCCCCATCCTCATCCCTATACCCATCCTGATCCCTATCTCTACCCATATCCCCATGCCCATCCCCACCTTCATCCCCATCCCCTTTCTTCCCCCTCCCCACCCTTATCCCCATCCCATCCCATCCTATCCCATGCCCAGCAGGCTGTGATGGTGTCTTTGTTCTCTGCCTTTCCCATCTCCTTCCCAGCTGACCCCGCGGGTCACTGTGTGAAAGTTCATCCCCATCTGAACTGAATTCCTGCAGCTGCGGAGCCGGGCTCACGTCACCGGAGGGGTGGGCGCGATGCCGGTTTACAGGAATGCTGCTCACAGCCTTGCTTTGTTGTTGGAAGTGTGTCGGGGACTCCAGTGCGAGGGGAATGGGGCAGATGTGAATGACACCATCGCTGCTCCGGGGAGAAAGTTGGGCTCTCCAGGAGAACGGGGATCCTGATTCAGCAGCAGCCGGGAGACATCCAGCAGGGATTTCCCCCCAGGCACTGGCTGAGCAGAGCAGCACGTCTCACCCAGACAAGCACTGGCAGCATTCCCGGCTGGAGCGGGTTCTCCATCCGCCTTGGTGTCCACTCAGACCTGGCCCTGGCAGTGATTTCACTGTCACACACCCGTGGGGCGCAGCACAAAACCCACATCCTGGGGCTGCTCATTCCTGCTCTTCCCAACCGTGGAGCTTTGCTGGACCAGGATCCCCATCACTCCCTGCTCCGGAAAGGGGCTGTGCGGCTCCTTCCCAGACCAGGCTGGTGGTGCCCCGACCCTCCCTGCTCTGAGGCTTCCTGAGCACCAGCCTCCTCCATCCCCAGGGCCAGGGACACCCCCTCAGCCCCGTCATCGGGTTTGCAGAAGCTCCTGCTCTCGGTGCTGCTGCTGCTCGAGACAGATTTCCAAGCAGGGTGAGTCAGAAACATGGAAAGTTGGTTGGAGCCATCACCCCCAGCGAGGACCATCGGGCCCTCAGCCATGGAGGCTCTGTTCCATCCTCTCCCTTCCAGCTTCCCCTGCCTCCTGGGTAAAACTGATGGCAGCCCAAGAGAGGGGAGAAGATGTTGGTACCGGGCTGCAATGTCCCCTTTGGGCTCCAGAGGATGGGCTCAGGGTCACAGCCACCCCGTGGTTCCTCTGAGCTGGGATGATCCCAGCCTTGAGCAGGGAAGCCCATTCCCATGCTTGAAAAGCGGCCAGAACAGGCACTCACGCTCCAAGCATCCCCCTGCTGCTCCTGGCGGGGCTGGATGAGGGTTATGCAAGTCTTCCCTCTCCTTTCTCCTTCCTGCCGTGCCGGAGCCCGGGGTCACTGTGCCGAAGGTCGCACATGCCAGAAGGCAGGAAGCCGGAGGGTCGGGTGGGCGTGGGGGGTTCGGCAGCCGGGGAAATC